AATTATAGAATTGTTTGAGGTATCTCTTGTTGGTGATCGTAGTAAAAAGTGATCAAGTTGAGAAGCCTTATCAGATATGAAATTTCAAGAAAACCTACGGACTTTTTTGTTCTTTTATCACTGATTAACAGCAACTCAATATTTTTTCTAGTTACGGTCGTCATGTGACATAGCGTACTGTTCTTCAGGAAGACGCTGACCATCAGACTCCATCTGACTGCCTTCTTGAAGCATAATGTCCAGTAAGTTTTCTACTTCCGAGGCTAATCTTTGGAGTTCGGAGCGGAGCTGGGAGTTTTCAGCCTGTAGTAAATGACGATTATGTGGTGGCAGCTTGTGAGTGGATCGTCTCTGAGACCGATGTTTCAACTTGATATCTACGGAACTGAGACTGCCGGAGGAGGTGGGATTATCATTACTTCCAGTGCTGTCCCCATCAGAAGAAATAGAAGATACGTCTTCTCGAGTGCTGCTGCTATCACGCCTACTGCTCCGGCCACTATCTGTTGGACTAGGTGAATTATGATGTTTTTCCCGCTCTCCGAGGTGAGACTTATGTCTCAATTTAAGGGGTAGAGAGAAATGAGGAAGGGAATGTCCGCTGGCACTTGTTTGAGAACTGTCATCTATTGATGACCATGAACTAGGAGAACTCACAGACTCTTGGTCAACAGGAGAACTCCGTGAAGCTGGAGGAGGGAGAGGCAAACTATGTTTTAGAGTTGAACAGCTGTTAGTTGTGTTAGTGTTTGACTGGAGTGAAGCGAGAGTGGTGTCATTGTTAATGGAGTAATCACTGTCACTGATTCTGGCTATTTTTGGAATCGGTCTTATGTGGATCACAGAAATTGACTGTAGACTGGACTGATTGGACGTGGTATTAAGGCAAGAGGTTAAGCTAGGCGCGGCTTGGATATTAACAAATGAAGAGGTGGTAGTGACGATGGTAGAACCAATACTAGGAACCAGAGAGCATCGTCCAAGTACCTCAGTGCAGGAACCAGCAAGAGAAAGCTGTACTTTATCATGATTTGGTAGAGGTTCTGTTGAAATACAATAATGGTCTTTAATAGCTCCTAGCTCAGCTCTAAGGATGACATTCTCCTTTGTCAATTCCAATACTTTGCTTTCAAGCACCAAGTCATTTAAACGACGTTTCTGGCGTGATCTTTTAGCTGCCTCGTTATTCCTTCTTCGTCTGTCCCAGTAGCTGTCGTCCTTTCTGGAGTCCGGAATAAATTCACGTTGCTTCCTTGCAGAAAAGAGCTTTGTGGGTTTTATACGTGGTGCCGGGTTCACTGGCACATTCATATGGTTTGTCCAATCTTCGGTCTGGCTAGGGAAGTGGGCAAAAGAGGTTACAACAACGGGAACAGAAGGCAGTTCTTCTTGGAAAAATGGCAGGATTGGTTCTGCCTGAAAACGAGGCTGATTAGCTAAGGGCTCATTCTTTGCCATCATCATGATGCTAACTAAATGGTTTCGATCTGTGAAAGAGAGAATCATACATAAGTGATGGTTCCATATTCTAATGCCAACAATATAAATTAATTAGTATATCTAAATTTAGCAAAATTACTATATCAAATGTAAATAAAACTTTAAAGGAAATCCACTTTGTTAAGTATGTTTACATACCACGATGTTGCGATTTTCGAAGAGCTTTTATAATTTTATGTTGTCTAAAACCTTTCAATGAAATGAGAAAATAAACTTTATTGAAGCAAACATAGAGCTCTTTCATATTTACTGAATTTACTTCAATGTCAGATTTGTTGTAGGATTTATAAAGAAACTTTTAAAACGATTTGAAAATATACTTATAGAAAGAAAAGAATAGGCTGCTAAATACAGGGCCGATTATCCTAGACAGACTGACATAAACACTTCGTTAGCACAACGGACAAGCTAAATTTCTAGTTTTATTTCCTTTATTTTCCAAGATATCTTGGTAAATCCGATAAAAGAACAATAATTACAATAATTCGTTTATCTATAAACGAGTTTGAATGGATAACTGACCCTCAACCTGTATTACGAAACTATAATAACGTTTTTAAAAAAATGGACCCACCATTGTATAAGCTACTCATCAGTTGGAGTATTTTTAGACAAAGTATTCGTACAAAGGTTCAGATTTCTGAAAATTAAGTTTCCAACTGCGGAGTTATTCACTGAAAAGAATCTCAATCTTTCTGCCAGCTTATGCTATTTTTCTTGAAACAATAGGTTACATAAAATCATGCACACATCTTTTCTCCCCTGCTCCAATTTCCAAATGCGGATACCAGAAAGCTAACTGGTGGACGGCCATATTGTTAGATAATTTTCCAGATCGTTTATTCCTAGATGTGTAAAGTGTATGATAAGCTAACACCAGAACAATATATAAAGTAGTCTAACCCCAGAATAATGTGTAAAATAGGTTAACTTCGGAACAATGTGTAAAGTATAAAGACGCTTAACCTCGGAAATATGTGTAAAATGCAGGATAGGCTAACCTCAGAATCCTCTGTACAATATGTAAAGTGTATGGTAAGCTAACATCCAGAACAATATGTAAAGTAGTTTAACTTCATAATAATATGTAAAGTAGGTTAACTTAAAAACAATGTATAAAATGTAGAGTAGACTAACCTCGCAATAATGTGTAAAGTGTACATTAAGTTAACCTCAGAAAGTGTGTAAAGTGTAGGCTAACTTCAGAACAATATGTAAAATAGTCTAACCTCATAATAATGTCTAGAGTTCGTTATCTTCGAAAGAATGTATAAAGTGTGGGGTAGGCTAACAATGTGTAAGGTATCCACTACCGGCACTTGTGTTTAAATTTTTTGCTAAAATTATAATAAATAATTAATTAAAAACTCCTGAAGATGACGTATATCACGTCGAAACATGTACTTGTAGAGATTTTAAAGTGGAACCCGTACGGCTTCAATAAAAGTTTTTATTGTGTAAATGTAAAACATTGTTTTTAATTGATTATTTATTATAATTTTAGCAAAAAAAAATATGTGTAAGGTAGTCTAACCTCATAATAGTGTATAAAGTACGTTATATTCGAAAGAATGTATAAAGTGTGGGGTAGGCTAACAATGTGTAAGGTAGTATAACCTCATAATAATGTATAAAATACGTTATCTTCGAAAGAATGTATAAAGTGTGGGGTAGGCTAACAATGTGTAAGGTAGTATAACCTCAGAGTAATGTGTAAAATAGGATAACTTCAGAATAATGTGTAAAGTAGGTTAATTTCACTTTACACATTATTCTGAAATTAACCTACTTTACACATTATTGTCTAAAGTAGAATAAACTTGGAACAACATATAAAGTGTAGGGTAACTTAAGAACAATCTGTCAATGCTGACATTATTGACCAGACCATTTAATAGCACACGTGGAAAATAAGACACGTGAGTCATGTCTCACGAGTTGAGTCGCTAGGTAAAATGCCTACATAGACGCTAAACGTAATGTTAATATTAGATTTAGAGGTTATTTTTACAAAAATCATGTAAACAAAGTATAACGTAACGCGAAAATATAGAATTGAGTATTGCGATAGTTATTGTTCCCAATAATGTATGGTAGGCTAACACCCAGAACAATAAGCTGGCTTCATAGACAAACTGAAACTGAAACCCACAACCATCAGTAAATAATATGTGTTGAAGCATGTTCCCTCTAAACGGACTAACGATACTTACATTTTTGAATTAAATGTTTCCACAAGAAGTTGGGTAACAAGCATGCCAACGTAAAAAACACGTCCTTCATTGTTAAATTTCCGTAACGACAACTAAACCTTTACTAATAATGACATTAATAAATTACAACCCTACAGCATAGCGTGAAGTGCTAATAAAAATCTAAAATGTTATGGAAAAATGACAATTTTCACCGTTATTATATATAACACAAAATAGTGTATACCATTATAAGATAAATACATATATATATACGAAAAGAACTTCACATATTCTATATCTTGTTTTCATCATTATTATATGTAACACAAAATAGTGTATACCATTATAAGATAAATACATATATATACGAAAAGAACTTCACATATTCTATATCTAGTTTTCATTGTTATTATATGTAACACAAAATAGTGTATACCATTATAAGATAAATACATATATATATGAAAAGAACTTCACATATTCTATATCTAGTTTTCATTGTTATTATATGTAACACAAAATAGTGTATACCATTATAAAATAAATATATATATATATATATACGAAAAGAACTTCACATATTCTATATCTAGTTTTCATTTTTATTATATGTAACACAAAATAGTGTATACCATTATAAGATATATATATACGAAAAGACCTTCCCATATTATATTGGATAAATAGCAATGGAGCAACATAAAATATAAAATTAACCCAATAACAAGTATAGTACTCTTCTTTAGATTATCTTGATTATAATAATTAGAAATACGATTTCGATTATTACTTCCACAACTGTCATACTTTCATCAACAGCCGTTAAAATCTTCACTTAAGAGAAATTAGTTACAAAATATAATAACTTTTAGATTAATTATCAATTCGCAAGCGTACTGAAATGTTCAATACATTTTTCAAACGAATTTTTTTTCTGAAAAATATAGATTCCTATGAATGCGACAAGGAAGGTGGGTTGTCAATATGCAAAGGTGGGTTGTCAATATGCGAATATTAATAGATACATACAAATAGTTACAGAAGTTGACTGTGTTAATATGTGAAAAATGATTACCTCAAAAAAGCAGTATGAAATATTTTCAGGTTGAAAGTGGTGAATTCCAAGATTTAGAATGTTTAAACTGTTAACTAAACGCACTTACATTCTGTTAAAAATCTGCATGTTGTTTTGTTTTCAAGGTGTCATTCATACATTATTTAAGGACTTATAATTTATAACACCCTCGCAGATTACAGCAAATAATTATATCAGTGTTTACACTTGCAAAGAGCGAGACAATCTGAAACAGAAGTCATGTTTTCAAGGTGTCATTCATACATTATTTAAGGACTTATAATTTATAACACCCTCGCAGATTACAGCATAT